ACAACATGCTCTTGTTTGTTACGTAAGACCCCGGTCTAATTTCTCTGCATCTGTCTTTATAGTCGCATAATTAGCTTCGACAATAATAATAATGTTCAATGCACCATCGCTCAAATGGGTAATGTGTCGAGGTTTAGGAAGAGGTAATGAAAAAGAGTCTGATGTGTTTTCAGATCTAGATGTAGCCGGATCTGTAAGTAAGCAGACCCCAGCTGTAAACAGCCCCCTCACAGACATGGAGTAAGCATCTTTGGGGCTTTAAATATTCAGCAGGTGCATTTTTGTTTGTGTGTGTCCGACTGTATTGTGGCATATTTGGATTAAATGTGTTGCTTCAAAGAAAACAAGCGTCTGTACACAGTAAATACACTCTCTCTGTGACCTAAATATACTTTATTTATTCAAATCAAGCATTAATATTTCACAATCGTTGTAACTAAGCTCCTAACAAGAGGAACTGTCTCCCTGAAGCTGCCGCAGGCTGATTCCTCTGTCCTAAAACTGTCCTGCAGGATATTGTGTTTAGGCATCTGGTGTGTAAAACAGGTTTACAATATATTTAAGTGGACAGTTTCCTAACACGCACACATGCCGTTTTTTTCCTTCGTCCTTTCCAAGTCTCCTGTTATAAACAGGCTCTTGAGCAATTAAGTGGAAAGCAGTCTCCAGAGCATAAACCCATTTATTATCATCCTCCCTTTTCTCCCACATTTCTTCATCAGGCTCAGAATCGCCGGGGGGAACCCGACCGGCTCTGTGCAGGAGTGAAGACACTCACGCAAGCATGGACACACACAAACTCTGACCCACATCACAGAGGCACGAGGCCCTCCTTTGACAGAGGGAGCTGAAATGAGAACTTACTGAGGGGTTTTGGGACCAGGCCAAAGGGGACGCAGAGATTATTTGACCGTCATGCCAAACAAGACAGTGCGCTCTGAAGCTGGACTGAGTCACACTGAACGCTCTGCTTATTTTTCAGAATAGCACAACAGAGATGCACAGAAAGAGACGACTGCACAGCCGGTGTGGTCAAAATAGTCATCATCAGATCTCAATTATTATCATGATTTTTTTGTATTTTTATAACCTGACAGTTTTAAAGCATCTGTACTAAAAACTAAAACTAGAGATTAGTTCAACATTTCATTAACACACATTTATCAACAAGTAAATATCAAAGCAAATTAAATAAGATAAACTTAGAAAGATATAACAAATATTTTAACTCAACAGAACAACAAATGTAGATAAATATTAAATAATACAGTGAACTAGTTTACAGTCCTGAGTGTTTCTGCAGGTATGTAAGACCCAAAATAAACAAATCGTCTCCTCGGAGATAATGAAGAAGCCTTAAAATGTAAACATTAGATGATGTAAACATAGATGATACGATTGATGGCTGCTTTCGTCTGGTAGCCCTCAGCAGTGACAGGCTGTACAGACTCCGCTCACATTTTCATGCTTTCCACATAGTCACTCAGGAAGAACTTCTTTACATGATTAATAAACAGATTTGTGGTGTTGCCAGTTTTTGAGGGAACCGACCACCGACATACCTTACATATCATCTTAATTGCTCAACGCCACTCTGGAGATACCCGAACCACCGCCACACAACCGATGTTCCAAAACTTTTCTTCTCAACAATGGCATCTTCGGAGGATGACTCAAAGTCACGGCTGACATCTATTTTGCTGCCCACAGCTCAGCGTTTTGGTCATTCTGTTTATTTCCTATTTACTTCTCTAGCAACTTACAGAAGTGAGCAGGAAAAGCTCGACTCTGATTGGCTGTTGTGACGCACATTTCCGCCACATTCGATCGAGTAAATAAGCTCACAGCTGATCACTGTAATGTAACTGAAATCTATCACAATCATTAATCATGATCATATGATCACCCAGTCCTACCTCCATATTTCACATCATGTATAAGTTGCCCTCCTCCTGACCTGGGCTGCCATCTTGAATTTTCATGCCTCTAAATGCAACGTGCAAAAAACAACAACAAGCATTTGTAACTCTTGTCTACTCTTGCATGTAAGTCCAACGCCCACGGCCCAATATCCTTTATTTAAGCATAATAGTTACTTAGTCGGACTTAACTAACACATATTGTCTTTATCCTTCTGTTCATTGTGTGACCTCTGATGAGGACAACACGCCGCTCCCACAACCTGTAATCCAAATAGTCGCCCACGGTGGAGGACCTGAATGGAGTCGTTCCACTTTGCACAATCACCAGGTTGCAGGAATAATCAGACCGGGTTTCTAATCAACAGTCATTGTGCTGCTCCCTTTTGTCCGAGCCGTCTCTGCCAGGGAGGTAAATGACTTCCAAACTGGGAAGAAAATTACATTTTAAAGAGTCATCGAGTGAAAACAGGTAGGAGTGAGGAGTCCGTTTTACTTTCCCGCCACATGTTGTAGCTTCTCATCAGGAAAAAGTTCTGGACTCAGAGGTGCAGGCTGAACTTTAGGGACAGTCGACCATGATCTGAATTCATAATCAAACTCATAATGGGATTGGAGGATGGGTTTGGAAATTCAATCAAGTGCTTCCAGGTTGAACTTTTACCCAGTTTTCCTCTTTCGTGTATTTTTCTTCAGCTTCAGAACAACATTTTTGTTTCTTTGTTTTCCGAACATCTCTTAGGAATCTGCTCCTAAAAAAGTCTACCTTTCTCACTTAAAAAAACTAAGGTGTGTTTATGGTGAATTTGTGACCACGTCTCTACGGCCGAGCTCAGCTACCTTTCAGATGAACCTCAGTTTGGCTGCTTGTACCTGCGATCTCGTTCTGTCAGTCATTACTAGGCCTGTCACGATAACAAATTTTGCTGGACGATAATTGTGCTACAAATTATCGCCGATAAACGATATTATTGACACCATTTTTTAAATTATAGATAATGATATTATATGGCATAATAATGCGAGTACACCATGTCAAAAGTGATAAACTTTAATTTCCACACGAGAACAACACTGGTTGTTTTCGTTGACTAAAATATTTCCCTTTTCTCCCACGACGAAGACGTAACGTTGACGAGCTAAACATAAGTCGGAGATGACTAAAATGTGACGAGACGAAAGTGCGTTTACGTTGATGGGACGAGACGAAAATGACGAACAGAGTTGCAAAACTCAGTCAGTTAAACGCTAAACATATAGGAGCATCTTAGGTCCGCTCTGACAGCTCTCATCAGTCTGCTGTGCTACTCCAACACACACACACACACGAGCGCGCGCACACACACGTGGAGTTTTGTGGTTGACGAAAACAAAACTGGTTTAAAGCCGAAATATTCCCACACTTGGGCTGTTGCGTTCGGTTTAGACACCAAAGCTGTCGTGTTCATTCTGTTAGCTTGCTTTTCACTCACGACGCTCACTTGCAGCACTGTATCCAAAAGTGTGTGTCTGTGTGCCTGTGCGCGCCTACGTGTACCTGTGCGCGCGCCAGCCCCATCGTGACAAAGACACTGAATGACTGACAGGAGGGTTCACTAACTCCGTTCATTCCGCTATAGAGCCAACGCCCCCAGGTGCCGAGAACAATGCGCAGAGTGAGACCTCTTCTCTCATCCAGCGTGTTTGGTAGCGAGAGAGGAGGAAAACCAACGCACGTCAATTATTGAGGCTGGCAAAGTTATCGACCTCGTTTTTATTTATCAAGCGATAAGGCGATTTATTGATTATCGCGACAGGCCTAGTCATTACCCAAAGAATGTGACCATGTGTGAGCTGACTGGTAATCAAGAGCCTGGTAGGGTACAGTACCTCCTCAGCTGCATGTATGGCTGGACGATATGGGTAAAAAGTTCATCACAATATATTTTTTTCATGTCAGTCGATATGTCACAATAGAAAAAATGACATTGAACAGTGCTTGTTGGTGGCATGTCTTTTGCAATACAATAATCTACTGCATCTGTGAGGTCTTTGAGGTTTGTCGTAAAGTGTTTCGCTAGAGACATGTCAGAATGCCTGTTAGAAAGCCCATGTTGTTTAAGTGTTTTCAAGTAAATACCTTTCAGTTACTTTGTGTTTTACGGTGAGTTTTCATTTGTCCTACGCTCGTGACTGCACCATAGGCGTTCCAACTCAGTTGTGTGCACCTGTGTGTGAGATGCCGCAGCTGCAAAAGTTTAGTTTTCCTTCTCATGCAGCAGAGGAAAGTTCGTAAATTTCCTCTTATCTGTTTTTACCCAATATTCATCTTCACATCCCCGGTTTATCATGTGTAAATACCAGAAGTGAGTTTCATGATGTTTCACTGTCCAAGTTGGATGCTATGATTTGTTAATGTATAGGCTGATGCTATCTCATGCTACTTGATGTTCATGTTATGTATGCTGTGAGCTGTTCTGATTGTTACTTTGTACCTTTATCTGCAGAACCACAGTCAGATAAATCCACCACTAAACTGGACATCTGTATCTGTGTCTTGTAACAGGGACACACACCGTACTCCTTACTGCTCTAAACCAGATAAATGCTGGAGAACGCCCTTTTCTCCTTCTTAATGCCAACTATCGGAAAAGCATATCGACCATGTTTTATATTAATATTGAGGGAAATTAATTTTTTATATATATCATTTTATCGCCCAGTACTAACTGCAGGAACTTGAACTTTCCTCTCTTGGCCTGAAAACTTCAGATGTCTTCGTTTGTCGTGTTTGACTGAGTCTGCTGCCCTGACAAGTTTCTGCTACCTGCTCTAACTCGGTCTTAATCCACAGGATCTTATTCAGCACCGACTCTGAGCCTTTTTTATCATCTCCTTTATTGTTCTTACAGTATTAATTTCCTTAACTCGTCAGGAAATCTGGATTCCCTCCCTGCAGACACGTTACAGAAGTCTCTATAGCTCTCTTACCTCTTCCTCTTCGGCAGTACTCATTTCCTCTTCCATACAGCAGCAGCCGTACGGACTGACGAAGCCCAGGCGCTCCAGCTCAAACAGACCAGTTCCAGTCTCAGCAGGACACTACAAACCCGGGTTTGTCTGGAGCTGCTCTGTCAGCTCGTGTTTGGTCTCTGAGGCCCACGGTTCACGGATAAGACGCCAAAGCCTGTCTTTAACGTAAAGGCGGCGGTTAGCACGGAGAACGCTTAGTCGGCCTGCTTTGTGTTGTGCGCTGGCGATAACGTGCTCCGACGAGCTAACACGATCCAGCTGCTGCCCTACAAGGGGAACACAGACACTGCCTCTGCTGCTCTCCTTCACTCCTTCTTTCTTTTTATCCCGGCTCCTTTTATGTTCGTCCGTCTGTCGTGAAATACAGACGACCTGTTCTGCGCGAAATGACCGACAGCGCTGCCAGATTCGCTGTTTATAGCTTTTAAGATAACTGCGAGGTCTCCGGTACTTTCCTGGATGTTTCCCGCTGCAGAGATTTACTGCACATGGGATCGTCTCTGGCTGCACAGCTGCACATTTAAACTCTGGAGATGCTATAGAGTCAGTTTTTTTCTCTCCAGAAAGTGGAGCATGCTGAAACTGCACAGTGAATCAGGAGCCACAGGGGGGTGAGGCCTGGGTCTGTGTGGACAGCTCTGCTCAGCAGTGATACAGTGAGAGGCTGTTTTATGATCCGAAGAGGAAGAGAGTCTTAGTCGGGGAAGTGAATGTGCAGGCTGTGGCCTTCCTCTTGTCGAGCTGTTGTTGAGTTTTTGTCTCCGGCTCTGTCAGTGTCTGAATCAGACGAGAGAGGGAGCGAGGAGCAGCAGCGGCGGCTCTGTAATGAGGAGGACTCAGCTCCTCTTAATTATCCAATAAAGTCTGCTTTTTACCTCCGCATGCTCATCCATCCAGCTCGAGAGCACTCACACACAGATACTCGTCTCGAACCCTGCGTGCTTTCGCCACCTTCATTCCTCACATACACACCTATACGTACGATACACACCCTCTGTCTGCGCCTTCACCTCTGTGCCTGCGAGGTGTAAATGGTGGGTAATGGTGTGTGTCAGACCTGTGTAACAGCCCATTAGGCACATGGAGTGAGTTAATCCGATCTAACATCTTTCTCCCCGTCTTTTAAAAAACCACACCAGACTTCTCTTGGATCAGGCGGTTCCAGAGCGAGGGCGCTCCGGGGGGGGCGGCGTACATCCAAAAAAACTCCACCGGCGATGCATACCCACTCTGACACCTTCCTTGGCCAAAAACTTTTCCATATGTGGCGGCCGACCGGTGGAATTACGCCGCGCTGCAAGATGTTAGGAGTTTGCATCCTGTGCGGCGTCAGTGTTGCTTCCTTTTGCAGCGAGCGCGGCCGTCTGTGGACAGGAGGTGGTCTCCATGACGACATGACGTGCAGCTCATCGGGATAATTTAAGAATTTCTGCCTTTCCGGAGGTGAATTACTCACACAACGGCCCCTGTTTGATTCTGATTCTTACAGACCTGTGCACGCACAGAGTCATGCACGTAGACTCGACTTGGCCTGTGCACGCTCTGCCTTCATGTGGCTGCATGTGCATGTAAAGGCAGACCAGTTCCCAGACCGGCCTCCGAGACTTAAGTGCTTTCAGACAGCTGGATTCAGTTTCATTACGACTGATGTATATTTTTTAAAGGGGCCAAGCTGTGGACACGCCGGTGCGGATAAATGTCCTGGAATGTGTTACATAAAAATAAAAGGTGTAATTATCTTTATTACAGGTTGATTTATTTATTAGTGGAAAAACGGCAGAAGAGGCTTGTGAAAACAGAGAGAGAGAGCGAGAGAGAGAGTGAGTTAGAGAGTCGCTCTATTTTGTGATGTGAAAGCATTTCTGCAGGTCAGTTTACAGCGAACACATGCAGTTAAGCGCCGATGTAAAAGTGAATCACACCATCAGCCAGAGGGTCCAGATGATTATGAGACACTAATGGAGGTCAGTGACTCACGGTAAAAAATCAGTTTATCATTCGAGCGTCGAAATACTTGAATCCAAGAGTCAGAATCAAGTTCTGAAACTGGAAGATCCTGCACCCCCAGACTGATCCGCGATCAGTCCGTCTCCACTCTGTTCCAGTTTTAGCTTTCTGCTCTCTTTTTCAGCACAACGTAGAAAAACACCACTGGATACTGGAACTAAATGTTTTCATGCAGTGCGCTCTGACAGCCTGCAAAACTAGAGGCTGTGCATAAGTACTATGTAGAGCTCAGGATCACTGGGGCTGAGACAGAGCAGGAATGCAGCACAGTGAAGCATGTGGGTGCAGATGCACTGACGAGAGTGAAACCATCAGCAGAGACGGACCGAACATGAAGCTGGTGGAGGTCCTATATTCAGCGAGAACTGAGAGCTGTGGACGTTTTCAAAAACCAGTTAAAGTTCCACTTCAATCGTGTTTTTTTTTAATACTTAAAGTGTTCACAGTGGTCTTTAAATTGTAATTATGAAGTTTTTAGTTAACATCGCGTTACCTGTGTCATTTTCAAGGGCTTTTCTTCTGCAGAGCTCCAGTCGCTCATTAGCAATTCACCTCTGAGTCATGGGCGGAGTCAGCGCTGCTCTGCACACTCCTCTTCATGCTAGCTTGCAGCCTAACATTGTCGGTGTAGTAGAAGTAGCAGGTAACATACAGTAGGAGCTATTCAGCTCTGAGACACTAATGTCTTTGGGGACATGATGAAAACTAATATCATAATTAGCTTTCTTACGAGCGTTGCAATCCATAAACACGATCCATGATCGTTCTCTACTTTTTTAGAGTCCAGCCTGCACAGCGGGGCTTTGATTCGTGATTCACAGCGATTTGAATACAGAAATACTCAGAAATGCAATTTCGCGCTCATTTTTCACATATTTCCTGTAGCTTCAGAAAAATGAATATCTAAACATGTAGACAACAAGAAAAACATGACTTTCATCAGAGTAGGTCTTTAAGGACTCATGTTTCAACTCAAACTTCTGTATCGATCATGTTTTTTTCAGTTGCTCTTTGACCTCTTGTTGTGAAGCACGTTGTGACCTCTGTTCTTGAAAAGGTAATATTAAATCAAACTTAAACTCAGGAGTACAGAGCGAGCTGAAGGCTGGGCTTGGCTCTCACCCCCTCTCCATCTCGCTCTGAAAACATTTTCATTCTCCGTTTTTCCCTCTGTTTTGTCCTGCCAGTTATCATCCCAGCCAGCCAACTGTTTATTTTCTAGCTCAATTACTCCGTGTGGGCGTGTGCACAGCAAATGAGGTTAATACGATTCTCCAACCAATGATGTGGTGACTCAGTACAATAGGCTGGCAGAACAATTTGTGTGTGTTTGATGGCAGTTGGCGGATTGTTTCAGGGGCATTTGGACGGTGGGATAATTGTTTCCAGAGCTCCCTGTAGAGTAATTGCGCTTCCTCCACCCTAAAGCTGTACCTCCCTCTGAGAATCTGCTGCCCACCAATACTTTAGAGACTCTTTGGACGGAGAAACGGTCAAATTATTTTCTCCAGAGAGACGATGAGAACCAGCAGCGGTTTGGGTGGAGTGACTGCCTGCACGTGCTCACGCCTTTTTTTTCCTTTTCTGTGTTTCTCTCAGTGTGGAGACATGGCTGCTTTCTCTGTGTGTGTGTGTGTCCACCTGTGTTTCAGTGTGTGTGTTCTCACAATTAATTAGTGAGCAAGAAAACCACTCAGAGTGATTGTGAGTAAATTGCCCTCAGCTGCACATGCAGACGCACGTTGCCTCCCAAAAAAATCAGACAGTGCAGACATTTACATTCCAGACGTCCACTCCAGACCGCGTCCACACGATGTGAAAGCTCTCTGCGGCCGCTCGCACATGTGCTCGGGGTTGAAGGTTTCGCTGCGGTTTGAAAATGACTGCTTCCCAAGAATAAAACTCATCTTTATCGTACAGGAACAAAAGAATTCCTCAATTAGGTTTAAGTTTGACTTTGGACAGGAAATGAAACCGTGTCGATCTAGATACTTCGATTTAGGAAGTGTAAGAGTGTGAATCGTTAAAGTGAAGAGTACAGATTTATCTCGGATTCTCTCTGTTATTCAACGAATTTCCAACGTATATGGAACGGCACCACTGGCGGCAATTTTCGCCATCTGCAAATTCCTACTGCATGCGTTTGTGAGACGAATTTCATGGTGAATTTCGTTCCACAGGAGGAAATCTACTTCTAGACTTCTAGAATCAGCATCTCCTCATCCATGGTGTCATCGGGGTGAAGTGACGTCTAAAAACCTTTGACTTGTTCGTCTCCGCCCGTTTGCATGGTGTGAAATATGATCCTCCTGAAACACAGTATTTTATTTTGAAAAGAAGCCGGATGTTTTATTTTGTGTCTGTGCCCGACTTCCTTTCCAGCACGGGTTAATCTGTGCTGAATTTATCCGGCATGCTGCAGCGTCCGGAAAAAATAGAACTCTGGCATTCGGCTACAAAGCCCACTGATCTGCAGGGGGCTGGAAAGAAGTCGGTGGAATCTCCCAACCATAACTGTAGTTTAGACTTTCCTCGTGTTCAGCAATGTGCAGTTTTTTATGCAGACGTGCAGCTCTCTCTAATATCTGTTACTTGTCCAATAATGTAGCCCAGCCTTCGTTGATAGTAGTGAGGTTTGGGTTCATTCATTCACTAATAACATCTCTGCTTATTTGTCAAATGCACATTTTCCAACTCTAAATCCTCCAGTGAGTTGTTGTGGCTCGAGCCAATAAATCTAAAAAAGTTCTGAGTTTGTTTTTTGATCTTGGTCTGAGCTACAAAAATACGTCAACACTGACTTTTGGTTTCTCGGTCTGATCTCGCCGCCCGGGCTGCAGAGCTCGCCACCATCTTTTGGTTTGTGCTGACAGACACAAAGAAGGCTTCCTGTTGTGAGCATGGAATATATACTGCAAACTCCTAATGCAATTATAATTGTTTGTCGTGTGCAGACTGACATGAACCAAAAAGGGAAATATGTTTCCGTGTGCACATTTGTTTTGCACTCAGTGACTGTTGGTTTTTTTATAGGAGTCTCATGTTTTATTGAAACAATCTCCTCTGTAGAAATGATGACTCCATAATAAAGCTACCATAGACAAAATTAGTCTGAGTGCTGTTTGCCTAAACAGCAAAAAATACATATTTCATGCTGTAATGAGCAGCTTTAGCAGCAAATTAAACGAATCCCATGAGGATACTGTGTAAAAAAAAGGAGAAGAAGAAAAAATACCTGATTCATTTCTGTCAAAAGTTTTTCCAAAAACAGACGGATGAACAAACGGAGGAGTCTGAACAGAGAACAGAGTGACAGGAAAGAATGTCAGCTCGATCCTGAGCACATAAAGAAGAAAAATAGAGCGAAAGATGAGAGAAGAGAGGCAGAGAGTGACGGAAAAATGCAGCAGTCTGGATTGTGATTGGCTGTCTCTGCGGGCATACAGCTGCGAGTACAGCTGCTGGGTGAATTAAAGAGGAAGGTCTGAAAATCATTAGCACGTTAAGAGTGTGTGAGTGTGAGTGTGTGTGGGGGGGTAGAGCATAAATCTGAAGAGAGGTGGTTTCAGCTAACAGGCACATCTCTCTCTCTGTCAGCTGAAATGGATATTGTGACATTTAACACAACAGAGTGTAATGAAATAATGAAGAGGAGGACCGCCGCCGCCGCCGCCATGTTGGAGCTATTTTCTGGTAGGAGGAGGAGGAGGAGGATGAGTTTACCTTTGTAACGACTTCAGGCTGATGGTGAATGAATGAGAAAACGTGTTGTGAAGGGGTGATGATGCAGATCAGAATCCTGACAGGGTGAGCAGGATGGCTCTGGTTTGGCTCATATAGTTCAGTTTCTGATTTGTCTTAAAATAAAGTAGAAATAAGATAAAGTCTAAAAGTTGTTGCTATTATCAGGACCGCTTCACATGACAAGTCCAGAAAAGTTTCTAAATACAAAATATTACAAACAGGAAAAATGAGAGTTGAATAGTTCAACAGAGTATGAAGGTCAAACTCAAGTCATGATGTTAGAATAAAGTCAAGAATAAAACAAAATCCTAAATCCTGGACTAAAGTTAGCTTCAACAAGAGAATCCTGGTACAGAAAGTTAGCTGCTACAAAAACTACGACTTTTTCATGACTTCATTCTAATAAAATAGACTTTATTTTATCCTTATGATATGACTTAACGTTTCCACCTTTATTAATTTACTACAACTTTACTAGATTATGACTTTACAGAGACTTTGTTACCATAAAACCAAGTCTTAAATTTCATGATTTTATTCTCTGAATATAATGACTGAATTAAATGTAAGATTATGACTTTTTGCAACTTAAAATCTTATTTTCTTGTGACTTTATTGCTATTATAAATTGTTTTTCCAATTTCGCCTAAATACTCTGTAATTAAATAGCTTTAAGGAGTAAAAAAAATATTAAAAAACTGATGGTATAAGAGAAAAAGTGAATTGTTAAGATTTTGAAGTGAAATATTTTATTTAAAAAAGACAAAAGTCATTATTTGATTATTTTATATTATATTTTATATATATATTTTACTTTATTTTTGCAACTAATATCTTGTAATAATATTTTTTTTTCTGGACTTGTCAGGTGGATGTGGTTTAAATAAGGGACTTTTTATATAGAAATACAGAAAAAAAACATGTGATCAGGTTGTCCTGACTATTTGTTGATTAATTTTCTATACATGCGTCTGTCTTTTTGTTCATTCATATCTGACTTTATTATTCATGGAGGTTTGACACTCATCAAACTGAAGGTTACTGGCTGTACCCTGCGTCATTATTTTGTATATCACGCGCTCACGTTGCATCGCAGCATGTTTTATTGATAATTAGTTTGCACTTTGCTGAAACAGGATGTAAACTCACAGGAACGCTTGTTTACATGCTCACAGATGTTGCTGCTGCTGAACGCTAACTCCTTCACCCACCAAACTACTTCAACATGCAGACCTGAGAAAAAACCTCAGTCCAGTGGAGTAGGTCACCCTCTATCCCTCCGTCTCTCTGCAGTATGAACCGAACAACCAGACCCACTACAGTGATTTTAATTTAGCAGACAAATGCATCCTGGTCTGCACCGAGCACGCTTCGAACCCTCCGATGGCCATCTAACAAACCCAGCGTGGCTGTAATGGTTGCTATTGCAGAATTTTTGTAACCGGGGAGCTAATTATCCATCTTCTTTATCGTCCCCATTTTGTTCATTTAACCGACTGCAGTCTGAGAGAACCTGGAAACAGTACATGCACTGGTAAGCACAACTGGGTTTCTTCAGATTAGCTATTTTGATACCATCAGTCAGAGTAAATACCATCCAGTGGATCATTAATGCTGCATCTGAACATTTCAAATGTCAAGCTTTAAAACTGATAGGCAGTTATATTCTAGGATTCCAGCGTCTGCTCAATAAAGACTTTAATTTGTGTCATTTCTGTAAAAAACTCATGCAGACGTAGGTAGATTATACCCACCTCTGAGAGTTCAATAAAGGCCCCACTCTGGCATTTGACTTTTCAAAGCGAAGCGCCTTATTATCAAAAGCACTGACATTTCCCGGGAAATAGGAATAGGTTGAAGAGAGGGCGTGCTGGCAATGTTCAATCCCAGTGTTCTTGCAAAATGCATGTGCTATAGCCGCTGATAGGCAGGTGTGATAATCAGCCATTCTTTGCTGCTATTTCAGTGATTTGTTCCCACTTCTTCGTTCAACAGCTCTTGCGGTAAATGGACCATTTTCAAATGATCGTTTTTTGAAAGCACAGCAATGTGAAGGACAGAATATTACCTGTCTGAAAACAGACAATACTCTTGATTCTTGTGTGGGAAAGTTTGGGGCTCCAGTTTGGATTTACATGCACACAGTTCTTGTCCCAGTTGATGGAACTGGACCTATCCATAGTTCTTCTTAAAATCAGTTTTTAGATTATGAAAAGCAGTGATTTTTTAATACTGCCTTTTTGGCTCTGTGATAGTTTGGCTTCAGCCGCCCTGAGTTTGCTTTTACAACAGACAGTGTATAAATTGAACCCCCTGCTCCCTCAGGATGGTGGAGCAGAGGGAGTTTTGTCATTTCATCCAACAGCTCCTGCCAAGAAAGAAATGTCAGACAGTAAAAGCTTACTGAAAGAAGTAGAGCTGATCTGAAACACCCATCAGATGTCATCCGGTGCTTATGCCTGTCTCCTCCCTCAGCAGGTACAAGGTTACATCTTATAATTATCACCCAGATGACAAGACTTTGTCCTGCTGCAGACTATTTTGGAATAAATCAATGACAATTAACAGAGAAAGACGACTCTCCAATGACACGGCGTTGTGTTTTGTGGTTCAGCGGTTGCAGGGCTCCCTGCCTGGATTATTAATGTGTCTTATTTTTGTCTTTCATGGAGTGCAGCTCATTAGAAGAGTTAGTCAGCACCTCGCCATTATCAGCTACAGTGTGCACTGATGAGAGTCACAGAGTAATCCTCATAGCTTTAGACTCCGCCCGGCATTTACAACCCGGACTTCCAAACTGTTTGGACGCTGTGGAGGAACAGGTTTTGATGGTTTGCATGTTATTTGGGCCCCCAGTCAATACCCCTATATAACAGATGTGACTCTGTAGTGGAAGTCACCGCATGAGCTCAAAAATGACTTAAAACAAACATTTTCAATGATTGCAAGTTTAGAGGAGTGCATGTGCAAGTGTCCTGCAATATCAAAATTACCAGCAGTTATCCAGTACCATATCTGATTGTACTGGGTTGAATGGACGTTCCCATGGTACAGAAACTTTACAAACAATAATTTCTTTATCATTTCCTTGAAGTAATAATCACCATATTAATCATTTTACAGACGCTGTAGTTCTTCTGCCTTAGCGTCTTGGTCTGATTGTATTTCCATGAGGAAATGATCGTAAATGTTCTTCCTTGAGCTGCGGCACCCCGCTGTAGTCCGTAATGGACTGGCCTGAGGTCTCGCTACAAACAAGTAGCTGCTGGAAGAGCAGTTAAAAAGGTTTTTGGTGTCTAGTACTATGTCTGTGACCCTATATGTCCTGTTGATGAAGTTAGGTGCTGTTCTGAGCATTATTTGTGGCGTTTTGGTTGAGGTTCGTTTATGGCTCCTCAGAACGCTGTGTATTTCTATCCTGCGGTCGTTACTAAAGTTGGTATAACTAGAGAAGCAAGCGGTCGGCAACATTCATCTCTCTCGGGGGTGTCTAACTCTGTGTTACTGTGTGTTTGACCCTAAATTAATTTTACGCCGGAATATCCCTTTAAATATGGATATGAAAATGATGCTGCTATCCAGAAAAAGTTTATCAGGAAGACCTGTGAGACAACGACAAACCACATCCTGTAGGATTACAACAGAACGGCTCAGTAGTAGAAGAGTCCTGCTTATGGTCCCTACTGTAGCCTTTGACATCGAGAAATCCTCTGTCTGAAGACTATTTAACTTTCCAAACTTGTCAAAAGTGAGAGGATGTTTTTGCGTTATTTAAGTTTGAATATAGAGTTAAGATGATTTTTGTGTTTCTGGACTCGGGGTTGTACATATTTTGAGATCTAATGAGTACAGAAAGTTTTGATGTTGTGCCGGCGGACTGCTGCAGCCTGCAGCCGCAAACACACTGTAAACGCTGTGAAGTGTTTATTTTTGTGTAAAATCCACCCAAACAAACTTTGTTCACCAAAAGCTTTCCTTTTTCGAACCTCAGGCAGTCGTTAGTTGTTAGCTACACGGCTCAGTTCAAAGTTTCTGGTGTGGGATTTGGTGGTCTACCACCGGCTAGTTTGTTTGTAATTGAGTCGTGTTGGTTTGGAGTTAAGGAGTAAAACAATACAAACAAACGGGCCGATCATTGCAGCGGTAAACCCAAGCTAATGAGGTACAATTACTGCTTTTTCTTACTGGAGTCTGTTGACATTAAAGTGAGTATTATTTTAGGTTTGAACATCTCCGGGGAGATCGTATCTATACTCTAGTTTGAAATAGAAACATATTGGATGTTTGTGTGGTGTCATTTGGGACCTGTAGGAGTAAAACTCGAGTTAAAACATAGAAACTCCTCTCAGATTCATAAACGATTTCAAACGACCTTCCCTTTCGGCTGAAGTGACGTTAATGAGATTACCAGCGTTAGGTCACATCTGTACTATTGTGCGCGGTGATGTTGGAGGTGTGAGCGATCCGTTCTCATCGTGAAGATGACAGAAAGTCAACAGAAGTTTGGAGCCAGAGAATAAATCTCATTATAAAGACATAGACTCACACCCTTTGCACTTTCCATGCGCGGCTTTGTCTGGGCCTTCGCTGTGTTAACTGTCTTTCATTACAGCTCTCTGTTATCCAAATTAAGTTATCCCGCCTCATTATTTTGCCAGGAGGGAAATGGGATGTGTCAGCAGAAAGTAAAAATATCGTCAGTGGGCCTGTGCTATGACAGATTAATTGGATTATAGATGCATTTAGCCTAGATTAGGTCCTGCATGGGGACCTGGATGGTGACACAGATGGATTAAGTTAGAGAGTGCAACACTGACGGGAAGAGCTCTTAATTGTGTCGGGTAAACGCAGTGGCACAGGGGTGACATCAAATTCCAACTCTTCCTGCCCCTCGACAGATCTATTTAGCGTTTCTTTCCACTGGGTATTTTTCAGAAGTCGTTTGGACTGAAAGCCATCCCGCCGCTGACGTCCAATCACAGACAGCTTGTTTCTGTCCCTCTATCTGCAGCATCCACTCTCTCCCCTGAGGTGGACAATACGAGTAATTTTGTTGTTAGACTGCGAAATAATCCCAGGAAAAGGTTTTAGGAAAGGTTTATTGGCCGGTGCAACATTTTATTCGCCTTATCCCCTGAAGAAAACTCTGTTCTGCACAAAATTTATGTTAGTGATAAAAATGTTGACCAGAACTTTTCAAAACTATCCTGAACTTTTTAATAATCTTAAATTATCCTCTGAGATATTAAAGCTGCAGCATGCACGGGCATAAAAATACCGGCACTGTGTGGGATGCATTGCACTTAAAAAAGCACATAACCAGGTTAGATTTATGATCAAAAGACAGGCCGGTGTCACTTTATAGGAAACGGTCCATCCTTCAACACTGTATATGACAGCCTGTGTTTATTATGACCCTCATTATGCAGGTATGTTCGTGTTAGTTAGGAATATTTCATCAGGATCAGACTGTAAATTTGAGGACTTGGATGTGATCGCAGTTAAAGAAAGTCTTTAAACTCAATTCAGACGTTTTTTATTTAATGTTCAAACATGTTTAGTGAAATCACAGGTCTAGAGTCTCATCCTTAAATTATCAAAAAAAAATGAAAGCTACGCTATGACCGGCGCTAAACAGGAAGCCGCATACTTACCAAACAAACATGGCAGGAAGGCAAAAATGAGTGGTTCTCATAGACGCTGAAAGAGGAGGAAAACGAACCCCAACCCTAACGCTAAAGGCGACAACATACAGGATGCGTATTTGGAGCATGGCAGCAGCAAATAGGTTTCCATTCTAATCAATGCAGCAAAGCATACAGAACGCATATCAGCTCTGTATTGAGAGCAGCTCTGCTAAAGATACACTACAAGTTTATTTTTGCTGCTCTATGCTTACAACACGCATCAATCCACACAGAGAAGATCAAGAGACAGATCGAGACAGGAAGTCAAGCATGAAAACTGCTAATGTCATCGGGTATTTCAAAATAAAACACCATATGCAAACTCCCTACTGTGTATCAGTTCGTGTCGATGAGAAATACGTTCTTGATTTATCAGTAACACAGAACAATCCGATGGTCGATCCCTGATCCATGTGGACCCCAACAGGACTTTGACCTGCTAACTCTGTCTGAAGGAAACAGCATAAAGGAACAGAGTTTACTTTATTAAACACCAGGAAACCTGTAAAAACACAAACTGTAAAATCTCTTAAAGCTTTTTCACATACAGTAGAGGCTCAACAGTCACTGAATTATATCCAAATTATATCCTGCACTGCTGCTACGCTCCAAATAAGCTGATCCTGTATGAGATACCCAATGCTGCTCTATGGGGCAAATACAGAACGCGCTCAATACTGATCCTGTATGTTTTCGGTTTAACCCTAACACCCGAACCCTAACCCATTTGTGCAATCATAAAGTGGCAAATGAAAAGAAAAGAGACTAATATTGCAGCAGCCCTAACATTCATGGTGATATACCTAGCTAGCTAGCAGCAAGTCAGTGTCCAAGTAGCATCAGGACATAATGACAGCGGGGGGACTGACCCTAACCCATTTTGGACCCAAGGATGAGTTGTTGACACTGTTAATGTCGCTGATATTTACAGTTTTTGCTTTTGACAGGACTGAACACACCCTCATTATGCATGTTTGATTTTATTACGGCACATTTCGTCAGAGATGTCTCAACTCAGACAATGACATTGTCAGGACTACAGCTCAACTCTCAGGAGTCTGTTTTCACAGCAGAAATCATCCCTGAATTATCAGTCATCTCATCTCATCTCATTCATGCTCATTCGAGCCAACCTCACACCGTAGCCAAATGAGGGACCAGTGAACCTGACAAGCTTGTCTTTGGTCTGCAAGAGGAAGCAGGAGAACCACCGCGTATGCGAACTGAAGGCAGTGTCAGCTCCTGTGCGGTCCTGTCAGGAAACGTGACAGTGACACCTTTGAGAAGTAATCTGCTCTGAAGCTTATTTAAACTTAAGTGCTTCAGTGACCGTGTCTGAAACATCCCCAGTCCCAACCTTCATCCACCCTCCAACCCTTCGCTCCAGCCAGCTGTTACCTGGCCTCAACTCTGACCTGCTGCTGCTGCTGCTGCTGCTGCTGGCTGACATAACTCAACCCCGGCGGGTCCTGAAAGATGTAATTTCACGGCGTCTACCAGATGTCCACACTAAATCCCAAAACAGAGTTATTCAGTTTGACTGCAGCTAAGAGTAGCTGCCATACCTCATGTCCCTATACAGATGTTTGTCATCTCATCGGACCCTCTGTAGGGGGGCCCGGTGTTAGTGTGAGGGGTAGATCTGTGCCCCACAGGGAAACAGAGGGTCTTAGCAGTGAATTAGCGAGGCATGTCCGATATGGAGTATGTATGATGTACGATAGCAGCACAGCTGGTGGGAACACATGCAAGGGGCCCGCACATATGTTCAGTATTTAACCTTCGATCAAAGAGATTGTAATCCGCTGAATTGAGTGGCTCATTATTACAAGCATCCTTTGAACCAACTTTTAATAAAGATAACACACCAGGCTGACCTTCCTTATCAGGCAGCACCATCGCATCCAGATGAGATAAAAGGGGAGCACATCAAACCCAAGTTTGTCAAATTACCATTCATCCGTCTTTTCTGCTCTTTCCCTCGTCCCTCAATTGATATAATTAGGTTGCGTTGTGGGACTATGCCAGCTGAATGCATTAAGGCACTCAGTAACAGCAGATTAATTTAATCTTTCCCACAATGGAAACATATCTCCATAATGCTGTGAAGCTATTTCCTCTCAATGTCACTGCCGATGGCTCAGAAGCAAAATTCAACGATGAGGCCGGGAAATAAACACAGGAGAGCAGGAAGACGAGCGCGTCCTCTGCATCTGCATCTCTTGCAGCTTTTTCAAACTCCGAAAGAACGAAAAAATCCTTTATAAATAATTGAAGGTCTGCTCGGGCCGAGGACTGACGGCGGGCTGGAATAACCAAAGACGCAGGGCTGCAGATGAAGACAAGCTGTGAGAGCACTGGAGCCCGTCTGATTCGTGCATGAGAAATGAGATGGGAATTAAAGCACGGTGCAGTAGCTGCCACCGTATACAGAGCTGCTGCTGCTGCTGCTGCTGCTGCTGCCGATGGTGTGTATTCCTGTCAGATCTCTGCGACTGCAGAGTGTCTGCACAGTCGAGGAGACTGATGCTCCTGATCCTACATTGACGCTGAATTGTTTTAATCTCCAGACCTCAGCAACCCGCAGTGCCTGTCACAATTGATCCCCTGTCAGTGTCAGAAAACACAGTTCATAAACACAAATGGCAAAAACAGAATTAAACTCTTTTTTGTAGAGTCACTCATCTCTGCAGCTCGGTCTGAGACGTTCGAGTCAACTTTGCACTGATTACCAAGTGATGTGTATCATCCTTTTCCTGTAAGCGCACTTCTACTTCCTGTCAGATTCACTTGAATCAGTATCTCAGTTTTTCTATTGGCTGATTGAAGCAGGAGCGTGTCGAAGCGTCAGTGTGATGGTGGTGGATAGCTGTCAGTTAAAGGAGCGGTACTGCAAAGTTACGATCTTTGGTTTTCCATATTCGACGTATGCAAAGTTTCGAATCGGGGAGTTAACACGTCAAAATCCTAGAAAATAGATGTAGACTGCTCTAACCGGGACTGTGCATGAAAAGGTGAGACTCGCTAAAGGAGACAGCAGCTAAAATAAAGCGAATAATGATATTCTAATACATCGCAATGAGAATCAGGAGGCTTTCTCTTATAAGAAAATGATGTAAAGATATTAAAGAGGAGTTAAAGAGGAAGTATAAAATGTTGCATAATACCATATGTCCTCTTTTACCCGAACATGTCCTCTTTTTTGGGGGGCTATCCAGCCTGCCTGGCCTTATTGGGGGAGTTAACAAAATCTTTCAAATGTTGGGGTTTTGTATGGAAGTCCTACGTTTGTGTCGTTTGGACTAACTGAGTTAGAAGCACGTAAAAACACTCGATCCAACCTGAAAAACTCTGAAAATGTACTTAACACAACTCTGTGACTCTGCCCCCGCGTAGTTGTGTACCCTTTTTAGGGATTCGGAATATGTTATGAATATGTTTAAGTTAGCTTTAGCTGCACCTCCAAAGTCGGACAGTTCTTGCAGCCAAAAGTTGAACTAAATGAGGATTTTTGTTTTACGTGGGCTCAAAGTGACAAGTGCATCTGTCTTGTGATTTCAGACGTGCTAAACCAGCTCCAAAAGTCCACAAAGTGTGAGTTAGCAGCCCAGCAGTCCATTTTCACCAGGCCTAACACCACGGACACGTGGATATCACCTCACTGCTTCAGTCCCAACCTGGATAAACACAAGGTGACTTCAGAGGACGGCAAAGTCGAGAAAGAAGAGTTTGTCGAGTCCCAGGTCCACAAGAGTAGGTAAATAATTTTTGTTTCACTTTTCCTAAAACTGCTCTTCTTGTATCTGTATTACATCTCTGCTTCTTGAGTTTGTATTTAACAGTAACGGTGAGAGTAGACCGATGAACCACAACTGTAAAAATTTACATCTAAACGAGGATTTTCAGTCGACATTATCGAAGTTCTGCAGCGTTCAGAGGGTTAAAAAACACTGTACAACATCAGAGCTGAGCGGTTATTATTCATAAAGTCAGTGTTTGGGGGAGGATTGAGAATTAATGCGGGTTTTTAAAGTGATGTTTGTGTTCAGGAGGAGTAAAAGCTGCCATTAAATCTCCTCGTAGTTTTGTGTTTTTAAAGCAAAGTGGTGTCAAAAACATCCCCCCGAATATAAACCAGCTCAAACTCCGACAGCAGCTTCTGTTGATCGGACTCTCTTCATGCTGTGATCGTGATAAACGAGCTGAACAACGAGTCAACAGACACTTGTGTGGACTTACCGTTCTCCTCTCATTTATTTCGGTTACATTACGCCGTCCAAACCCTCTTTTTTTATTCAATAATTTACCAGCGAGCTGCTCAGTGTCTCCGGGGAGTGCTACATTAGATTCAATTTCAGGCCCACGTCAGGCAAATTTAGGGCAGTCATGCAGATGCTTCCAGAATGCACAGACTGGATGACCGGCGGTCTGTGAGCATGCACGCAAGCTCGTCTGTGTCTCTGTGTGTGTCTGTGTGTGTGTGTGTGTCCCCACCTAAAGGCCTCACCCTCTCCGAATCCATCCACGTCAGTTTCATTAGGGCCGTCTCGCAGCAGATTGTCTGGCGTAGTTCTGAATTAATTGCGTGGTTGTATGCTAGTGGCTTCAAACAGGGCTCCCATATGGCGCCATGCACAGTGAAGTGGGCCATTCTGCGGAGGGCCAGACGCAGATGTGCAGACCACAGGACGCATGCATCGGAAATGAACTCTGCTGACTGTCTTGTTGTGTACCCTCGCTGTCATTCCCCAGAAGATAGGACGAGCTGCAGAAGCTTTGTCGACGCCGTCTGCTAACATACCTCACTCTGAGAGGATCCTGCTCATTGGCTCGCTGGCATCCCGGGGCGTCATCACAGATGTTATTGTATCAGAACAAAACCGTGGACATCTGGAGGAGGGAATTATAATTGAGTCAAAGAGCGAGCTCTCCGAGTTCCTCAAGCTTCGACCCCGTGGTTTCACACAGCAGTTTATGAAAATCTAAGATAGCAGATTTTATGTGTCAGTCTCAGAAAACTGCAACCTCATTTTGTTCTGAAGAAAAGTCATCAAGATTGTAGCCTGGTCCTGATATGAAGGGCTGCTGGTTAGAAAGCTCTGCTGAGAGATACTTTTACATACAAACTAGGGTGACCATACGTCTTCTTTTACCCGGACATGCCCTCTGTTTTGGGGGGCTGTCCGTTCTTGTCCAGCTTTGTCCGGGGGAGTTTATAAAATCCTCCAAATGTCCAGGTTTTGAGTTTATGTCGCATGAACTTACTAATTCCGAATTTCCACCATGTCCAGAATGGTGGCGATTTTTGCCGTCCACCGATTCCCACCGGATCTGTTTGTGAGGCCAATTTTGTGGCTGATTACGGACAGCGGTAATCACCAGAACTCACAAGAACCCGTGGATTCACGTGCAATCGCGCGATAATGAGTTGTCTCTTTAAAGACAGACACATAGACATATAAGCAGTAGATTGTGTCCTTCCAGAGGAGGAAATCTACTTCTAGACTTCTAGAATCAGCATCTCCTCATCCATGGTGTCATCGGGGTGAAATGACGTCTAAAAACCTTTCACTTGTTCGTCTCCGCCCGTTTGCATGGTGTGAAATACGATCCTCCTGAAACACCGAGTGTTTTATTTTGAAAAGAAGCCGGATGTTTTATTTTGTGTCTGTGCCCGACTTCCTTTCCAGCACGGGTTAATCTGTGCTGAATTTATCCGCCATGCTGCGGCGATCCGCAGAGGAACGGAAAGAAGCCGGTGGAAATCGCCACATTAACTTGAAAAGTTACGATCAACTATGATTGGCGGATACGGCCTTTTTGTAGCTGTTTCATATGCAGAGGAATTTGGGGGTGACTTAGAAGCATGTAAAAGACACTCAAACTGAAAAACCATTCCATGACTCCGCCTTTGCGTAGTCGTTTCCTCTTTTTTGGGGATTCAGAATTTGGTCACTCTAATACAAACTCTCTTCCTGAGTACTGTACAATCTTTTCCAATCATGCCGATCACATTATCAGGAACCTTATCGTCAAACACCGACATGCTGTTAAAACTAAAACCCTCAACGGGGAACATTTTGCAGATAAAGAGAAGAGAAGGTGCTGCATGTTATTTCCACATAAATCAGTGAAGAACAGAGTTAAACTGAAATATGGTCGGTCATAAAGGAAGTCCACTTTTAGGACAGTCACTCACATGACTGATTTACAGTGTGTGTGATTTATCGTTAAAGCCTGAAGGTGATGAGATAATTACTCCAATTACACCTGTCTTTTCCACAAACTGATCAGGACTCTGATTCTTTCTCCGTCTTGAATTTTCTCTTTTTGCTTTTTTTTATCGGAACCATCGGGGACGTTTTTTTCTGTTTCTCGTAGAAAGCAGCGAGAACAAAACTAGAACAAACGGCGTGAAGACGAGCCTGGAATCATTTATTCCTTTTGTACTTCTGGACCCCGTTTAAGGCGGTTCTGTTAACGAGCGTATGACGGATAAATGAAAGTGAAGAGGAATAGATCACTGTTAGTAATGTTAGGAGATCCTGCAGTTGTATTTGTAACTGCAGATTTTTCTCTTGGCACGTCGGCGCAGGTTGAGGCGCTGATTACGACTCATCAGCTCCATCAAATGAAACTTAATTAAGTAGACAATAAGAGCTGATTGCCTCTCCCTCCCACCGACGCTGTTATGGTGACATCAATAGACGATGATCATCAAGGAGACAGTGCAGATTTAAAACGTGGAGAGAGAGAGATTCAGCGTCTGCATCCTGGAGACTGATGCAGATTTAAGAGGCTGTGATTCGTCAGGTTATGACGGATGATCATATTTGGTGATTAGCCTTTAGATATAAGATGTGTGCTCGATAATGAAACTAAAGTATGCATGTGTAAATCCACATTTCATCCATTAGATCGAGTTCTTTTTATGATTTGAAGGATTTGTGGAGCTGTTGGAAAAAAGGTGTTTTTTCTATCACCTGAAGGGTCACTCTTAAGTCTAACTTCCCAAACACAAAAAAGAAGGTACTGACTGATATTAACTCTTTTACTCAAATTCCTTAATTACCTCTCAGCCTTTTCCTTTGTGGTCGTCGATGGAAAGAAGAGAAGGCGAGGATTCAGACGAGTTCTCAGTTGAAACTCTATTTTATTAACTACAATGAGTCAAGAATGTGCAAAACAGAGATCTCTCGGTCCAGAATTAGGTCAACCTGCTAAACAGAACCAACCCTCAGAACCCGACTAACTTTCCCTCAAACCCTTTATAGTCGAGGATCCGTCTATCTAGACAAAGAGTTTCTTTCCTTCTTTGTCTTCATGTGTAGGCTGGTTCCTTGTTCCTCGAGTGGGTCCACCTATTTACCTAATAAGGAGTCGTGCTATTTATTCTACATTCATATCTAACACATACATTCAGTCATACAGTTTTGCAGTCTAAGTGAGTTAAAAAAAGCATGTATTATAGACGAAAATAACTAACACTCCCCAAAGTTCCATAACCAAAAGTTCTTTTTCTTTCTTTCTTTCTTTCTTTCTTTCTTTCTTTCTTTCTTTCTTTCTTTCTTTCTTTCTTTCTCTCAAACTTTAAGAACAACAAAAAATAATAATACAACTAGAAACAAAAACACAGAACAAAATAATACATCTGTACACCAAACAACATATGTATGTCAAAATAAACATTTTGAGAAGGAACAGAATGAAACAAAGAGCTGATCTAGTCCTGACCCTTACTTGCAAATTCTCTTTCTATAGATTTCAAAGATCCGTATAAATACCTTCATATTTATATCTAGATATTTTCTCAAAGCTCGATGTGAAAGTTCAAACCACAGAGCACCCTCTGCACACTTCCTCTTTCATACGTCTTGGTGCAGCTTCCTTCAACAACAGCACGCAGACATCCTTATTCAGTACATGACACCTGACTTACCAACTATCAAGGAAAGCCAACGCTAAAACCTTCATACTATGAATACTGTTCTTCTCCTCTGTTCAGGGTGATCTAAGCCTCCCTGGAGCTTTTCTCCTTCTTACTGTTATCCATCAGTACATGACCGCAATGAGCACAACACTTAATTCTTTATGCAGCTTCGTGAAATCATCTCCAGAGATGATCACAGAGCTCAGCTTGATAGCGGACTCTGTGGACCGCTGCAGGTACATGTACATCAGGTTTGAGATGGATGCAAAGGAAGCATACCCTGCAAAACTCAAGTCTTATCAGATGTGCATCATTCATCCAAGATCCAAGTGGTCCGACTGAGATCTTCTCCATAATGAGTTTCTGCAGCAGGTTCTGGATCATGTGGTCCCCCTGGTTCATCCTCTCCTGATATGTATTCTTCACGCAGGCTTTTCCCCGCTGCATGTTTACACCGAGCGGTTTATGAATTAATCTGGTCCAGCGCCGTGCTATCTGTATATCAGAGCACATTACCGTCTGCTGACAGATGATGGAAACACTTGCCGTCTGACACTCTGCTATCTGCTTCACGTCTCAGTATGGAGAGGAACAAAGACAGATGCCATCAACATGAAAAGCCCCGCGATCTTATCAGCTGTGCAGGAAGGTAAAAGCTCCGATTGTTTATTATGAGGAAGCGCGCCCGTGTGGGGGACTTCACAGAGACATGACGGCGCTCCGACACGCCACTGCTCTCCTGCTTATTTGATGGGTTAAAGGTCGCAGGCGCTCTGAGGCAGATGGTATTTATTTCATTAAGTGCTGTGGGCCTCTGAGCTAACCTGGAGGGATGTGGTCTTCGGAGTAAGGCGGCGTATTTAGCGAGAGAGGGGGGCCGTTGGGTCAGATGGTATCTTTTTCTTCCATGATGGTTAAAGGACGCAGGTGAGAGTGAGCGGCCCGCAGGCAAAGACCAGAGCAGGAATTAGCGTCTGACAAACGGCTGTCACAGGTAAATGTCTTCTATCCTCTTACCTCACACTTGTTAAACTCCGACACACTGAGAAGACGTCTCTGCTGCTCGGCTGATTTTATCTCACCGTCTTCTCCCCGGGGTAAAAGTTAAAGCACATTTTGTGAACAGCTATCAAAGGACAAGGCGAGTACTCATGATTTTTTTCTTCTTCCTGGTTATAGAGAGATAACTTTTAAACAATTCATCCAGCTGCTACTGCAGACTGATTTTACTGATCACCAGTTCGGTTTTACTCCTGCACATCTGAAGGTTTCGGATAAGGATGCATTTTAGCGCTTCGATCTTGTAACCTGGATAACTTCGAACAGTCGTTGCCGTGGGAGCCCTGAGATTTTTAGACCATAAACATTTTTTGTTTTTTGTATGTACTCAGTTTCTAGTCTGTTTGCAGCCTGCCTCAAGTGGGCACTGGTGGTACTGCAGCTTTTAGCTCTTGTGCATTTCTGGCTGGCTTGGTTGACTCAGGAATCCCTCGGGAGAAGCTGGGAGACGTTGCAGAGGTGATATTCATGCTCACTACATAATTACTTACGAGAATAAAGTCATAATAAAATCATTACTTTTGAGAATAAAGTTGGTGCCAATATTCTAACCTGTTGGTAGTTGTTTAAATGAGCGTTATGGATCATTTAGATGAATTGAACTTCAGTGGCTCTGTTTCACAAACAAGGAGATAAATCCTTTGGTGTTTCATTGTCAGAAGTATCAGGACATATGCAAGAAATGCATCTTTTCCACAGAAAGAACCAGGCGGACTTGTAGGGAATCACTGTTTTTGAGGAGGGGGAAATGTCTGTGCAGAGGCTTAATCTCTCAATGCAGTCATTTATAGCAGTAGTTTCATAGGACTTGAGTTTATCATATGACTCTGTAGGCCATAAGGTGTTGGTGCTCAAAGTCCTAATTTTCTTTTTCTTAATGTGGCCCTAATACTCTGTTGTACAAATGTTTCAGATATTTTTGTAAGATTTGTTGTGTTAATTTGTTGTGGAGTGTTTCCTCACACTTAATGACTTTAGATGATTTAAGAATATTCAGCAAAGTTGATCCAGAGATGATTATTCATGCATCTGTGTCATCTTAGCTGGATTATCGTAGTTTTCTTTCCAGTGTTGAGATACTCCAGGTTGTTCCAAAACGATGGACACACAAACACTCATGTCTCTAAATATACGATCATTGATAGTCATGAAAAATAATCCCATTTTCGTCGAGCGTTATTTGTCTTACATTCCCTTCATGTGGACTTTTCTCAGAGATACTGAGCCGTCTGATCTGATTTTTCCAACTCCACCAAATTCCATTCCTCTGGTGATAGAAAATAAATCCAAAATGTTGATTTTGGCTCGCTGCACGCCGCTGATTTCCATGCCAGCTGAAAGAGGAACAGTGGAATGCTGCAGTGCCACGGAGGATCACTCCTTTCCCTCCAGTGGACGATTTTGAGGTTGTGGTTGGTGGTGGCGGTGGGTGGAGGGTCACCTCTGATGCAGGCTGCCGCTCTGGCTGACGTCCATCCTCCCTGGCCGAACTCATGTTTCAATTCCAACCCTCCACCTCCACCTCCTCTTTTCTTTCTGCTCTGTGCCCTCCAGCCAGACCTCCATCCTCCTCCCCCCTGACCCTGTGAGCCTGTCCAACCCCTCCAGCCCTGCTGCAGGCCGGGCACGGTGACAAAACCAGTGTAGCCTTTGGCTTGAGAACTGGCAGAATCTATTAGCTCCCAGCAGACCGCAGCAGAAGCTAGCAGGTCTCAAATCCTGCTGCTATGTGAAAACAACAGAAAGACGAGGCGGTTAACGGAGAATACGACACTCAGAGGAAAGAGAGAGTCCAAAAATTCGAGGAAATTAGAAAAGAAAAGTAGACGAAAGATGTCAGGACTGTATGAAGCATCTAAGAGGAGGCGGCTGAGAGCCACCAGACTGTAACAAATCAATTAAGGATGATAAGTCACTCCTCACTCTTCACTCGCTCACTCTGGAAACCTTTTTCAATCTTCAAACTCTCTTTAAATAATCAAGTCTGAAGCTTGGCTGACTTACAGGTTGAGTTTAGAGCCGTGAAGTACAGCAGCATCCTCCCACTCTGTCTGCTGTGACTATCACGATGGTGGAGCAGCTCTCTGAAACCACAGAGAATAAAACATGACTCCCTGATCGGGTCAAGCAAAGAAATACTGACATATTTTGCTGAATTGCTCTTAAAAGGATAAATTTGCTCATGATCAGGGTTTTATTTTCCAAACTTTCACTGTGTATCGAAATTTCCTTTCTGATCTTATAGGCTGACTCTAAGATCGACCTTTTCTGCAGAAACTTGCAAACTTTTCAGATTTTGTCCAAAGTTTTTAAAGTACATTCAGTGTTTCCACTAGAAATTTTTGCAGCTGCGGCGGTGGGTTTGTGTGTCACTCTCTTGCCGCTCCAGAAGCTATGCTGTTACATTTATGCTATGTTACCCGCGCTACTCGCTATACAGAGCGTGTATAAGCTTGAACTTTACCTTTTACGTTGATAGAAGAGGGTCCGACAGGATTTGAGGCGCTCCTTGATGACTCACAACAAGTTGGAAATAACGTTGTGTGTTGTTGTGCTCACACAGTGCAAGTAGAAACATTAGTGGCACATTGATATAAATGATCATGTGAAATTTCAGTAACAGCACACGTAATGCTGCTGCTGAATGAATGCAGGGGAAACACTGCTGATACACATGAGTCCGAGGTAAAACTATGTGAGATGAAAACGATTTTTTTTTTAACTGTGGCGGTTTTTATTTAGCTGCGGTGGTGTGCCACAATCAATTGCATGCGGGGGAAACCCTGATATCAACAAGTTAGGAGACGGGAAACAAATATTTACATGCACAAAATTAGAAATGAAAAATGCACAAAAAAATCATGTAGAAAAGTCAGAGGACGAAAGTTTTTGTCAGGAAGGGAATTGATAATGCTACCAATGATATCCTGATCAATTCCTGTCACAGAGACACAGAGTTAATAACCCAAAAGCTGCCGGTCTAACAAAACAAGTAGATTTTATTCTAGTGATATTGCAAAAACAACAATTTTTCATCATTTATAAATGTGTTTTGAACCATCACCATCTTCCGCCTGCCACGCCATGAGTGCGCTGTTTGTCTGTTTGTGTTACGTCATCGCTCTACAATGGGAACCATTAGGTATTGCTTAAAATGATGTTGATGGTTGGAACTGGTGCAGATCTAGTTTGTTTCTGGATACTGTTGCAGTGTGCTCTTATATTCCTGCTTGTTTGGACTTGTTTCCGGACCCTTCTTTCTGCCCTGTTGTTTTTCTGCCTTTCTCTTCAGCTTTCTTTTTGAAGTGGAGCTTTGTGCTTCCGATGTCACTATCCATACATTCATCAATCTGTTCTGTTTCTCTGCTGTCTTGTTGTTTTTGCTTTTTCTGCTACTTTACTTGTCCCGGTTTTACCTGTTCAGCTCTGTTTCTGCATTTCCACTATATTCTGCAGAATAAGGAAAATGTTGCTCAGGGACACCTGGTGAAAAAAAAGATGAAAAAAGAGCAGAGACAGTTGAACTACAGCCATCATTAAAACTGTTTCACTGTAAAGCGGCTCTTTGTGAGCATGTGCGGAGCTCCTCTGTGAAGTCCTTGAGTCTTTTTTTATTCATTTTGAGTCGATGTTGAAGAAACTCTCACCACTGCTAGAGCTCGACTCTTAAACAGCCAATGAAGAAAATAAAATAGTGGTATGAAGGGTTTTAAAAAAAGCGCTTGTTTCCAAAAAGGCAGAATTTAAATGCAGAATTACACTTTAAACACTTTAAACACATAAAAAAGTTTTTCAACTTTTCATCACAGGAGTAAAGTTTATGAGATGAAGATTTAGAAGTGAGATTTACCACAAGAAGTGGAAAATGATCGATTTGGGGCGGTAAGAAGATTGAAACACTTACCTGCTCGTTCCTCCAAACGGTGGAACCTCAGAAGTGACGGTGGCCTTCAGGCTCTTGTGATTCATGATGAGTACCATCCTCCATTTGTCAGGATTTTACCATCAGGTTTTTTTGTGCACAATGGCCACTCTCTCCTCCTTGCAGCTGGTGCACTTTGGGTAGCCACTTAAAAAACACAAAATGCATGTTAGTGGTTTGTCCACTCTGCTTTTATGGAAACATGGTGGTGCAAGTGTCACGATATGTTCTGTCCAGATATGGTTCTGGTTTTATATGAGTGTCTTTTCCTTAGAGTTCCTGTTCCCCTGTAGTCCAGTCTTGTTAGTTTTCAGTGTGACCCTGTTTCCCTCTTGTTCCCTGTGTTTTATTCTTTAGGTCAGTTTTCAGTGTTTATTTCCTGTTTTATTTTGTAGGAGTTGATTCCTTGTGTTACTAGTCTGGTTTTACTTCCCTAGTTTTTCCTCCTTCGTTAATCACTCATTAGTCTCACCTGTGTCTCGCCTGCCTCACCTGTTGCTCGTTTACCTGTTTTTCAGTTGGACATTTAGAATCAATTTTTGTTGCTTTTCTTTTAGTTCCTTTTAAATAAATCCTTTTTTGTTCTGTGTTTTGGGTCCTTTCCCTTTTTGTTTAACTCCGGACCGTAAAGTGGATCACTTTGATATAAATATAAAGCAGTCATTCAAAAAAAAAGCTCCAATGAGGAGTTCTTCAACTTAAATGAAATAGGCTGAAATCATAGTGATGTATTTTCTCGATTTATGATAAAAAACAAGACAAGCCACAAAGTTTAGGATGTATATATGATATCTGTTAATGTCTAAAACTGGTGTGAAGAGGAAAGTGTTGACCAAGCAGCTAAAAAAAACAGTAAGGCCCCGTTTATAGTTTGCACCCTTTGTTTAGACACAAACGGAGAATATGATGCTTTTTTAAAACTCCGACCAGAGTCGAGATTTTGGAAAACTATGTTTACACGTTTGCATGAAGGGACTGACATTGTTAGGGCCCGAGCGTAGCTGCTAAGCAGCTGTGAGAGCCCTCTTGTTCCTGATGGATTCTTCTTTAGGGCCCGAGCGTAGCTGCTAAGCAGCTGCGAGAGCCCTCTTGTTCCTGATGGATTCTTCTTTAGGGCCCGAGCGTAGCTGCTAAGCAGCTGCGAGAGCCCTCTTGTTCCTGATGGATTCTTCTTTTGTTATTAGGGCCCGAGCGTAGCTGCTAAGCAGCTGCGAGAGCCCTATTATTCCCCAAGGGGTTTTTCTTTGTTTCTTTTTAGGGCCCGAGCCAGCTGCAGAGCAGCCGGGCGTAGGCCCTGTTATTCCTGTAGGGGTTTTTCTTTGTTTCTTTCTTAGGGCCCGAGCGTAGCTGCTAAGCAGCTGCGAGAGCCCTCTTGTTCCTGTAGTTTCCTTCTTTTGTTATTATTAGGGCCCGAGCGTAGCTGCTAAGCAGCTGCGAGAGCCCTCTTGTTCCTGATGGATTCTTCTTTTGTTATTATTATTATTTTTCCTCCGCTTTAAACTGGAAAATGGCCCACTTCCCACTGGCGAAAACTCATGAAATTTGGCAGGACGACCGGGCCTGGTGAAAAATTCGATATTCTGAAGTCGCCCAAACAAGAAAATGCAAAATGGCTCCATAGCGCCCCCTAAGGTGAAAATTCACACTATTGACTGTCACGCCTGTACGCTTTGTCATATTGACACAAAAATTGACACACACATGTATCTCAATAAGATCTACAAAAAAGTCAGTGCGGGCGTATCTGTCAAATGTACGGTTAAAGGGTTATTTTGCATTTTTTGCAGATCCGCACACATTGGAATTTCGCTAACTCCTCCGAAGGCTTTCGTTCCACCGGCACCACATTTGCTCAGGCCAATCTACACTCCATGGCCATTCAAAGTTGTACAAATCATAATGCTGCACCCCATGGTTTAGGTTCTAGGGGGCGCCAAAAATAACCCAAAAATCCACATTCTTAAAAGTTTTATAAATATTTTTTTTTTGTCCTCACTGGCCTCCAAGTTTTCTAGGATGATGCAATGTCCAGCCATCAACACATTTGTGAAGGAATTTTTACTCCCCAAAAGAGCGCCCCCCCATGGCAGGAATAAAAAGTCCATTTTTTCTTGTCCCCTAAGGTGAAAATACACATTGTTGAGTGTCACGCCTGTACGCTTTGTCGTATTGACAAAAAATTTGACACACACGTGTATCTCAATAAGATCTACGAAAAAGTCAATGGGCGCGTATCTGTAAAATGTACGGCTAAAGGGCTATTTTGCATTTTTTGCCGATTCGCACACATTGGAATGTGGCTAACTCCTCCTAAGGCTTTCTTCCCACCAACACCAAATTTGCTCAGGCCAATCTACACCCCATGGCCATTCAAAGTTGTAAAAATCATGCCGCTGCACCCCATGGTTTACGTTCTAGGGGGCGCCAAAGATGACCCAAATATCCACATTCTTAAAAGTCGTTTTGGCCACTGCAGGAGTACAGAGTACTGCAGGATACACACACACAGACACACACACACACACACACACACACACACACACACACACACACACACACACACACACACACACACTCAGAGTCTGTTTTTTAGCACCTGCAAAAACATGCTATTTACATATTTGACAACAATGCAGAGGCTTCCTTTTGCCCCTGAAAAAAATCAAATTTCTAACACAACTTGACTGCTCATTTCTCCAAAAGACAACCATGAAGCTCCATCCAAACCTGAAGCAGGCAGTTGGTGCATGTGTACAGTAACCTGAGGGGAGTGAGGTGACTGCTTCTGAGGAGAACATGAGCAGTGAAGATTCACCTTGGAGCGAGAACAGGGACGTGCACATGATTATACAGGGGCAGGGGCTCAAGTTTTTTCCAGTCGTTTATACAATATGGAAATTAATGTGAAATTAAAAAACAAAGTATTAATAGAAAGGTAATGACTGTCCTGTGTAGGTGACAGTGATATCCAATAGGCTAGGCACTCACGAGGCTGGCTGTGGCAAGTGTAAGTGAAAGCAACACGCACTGGCAGGAAGAACAGCAAACGCCGATGAAGGAAAAGGGTCTTTGCAGTGATGGGCGTTACCAGAGAGGACGATGGCCAGAGGACGCGAATGGGACGGGGAGGCAGCGCGTTGTGGGGGGGGGGGCAACACAGCTCGGGCCCGCCAGTGCCCCAACGGGGCCCTAGTTATTATTATTTTTCCTCCCCTTTGAACTGGAAAATGGCCCACTTCCCACTGGCGAAAACTCATGAAATTTGGCAGGACGACCGGGCCTGGTGAAAAATTTGATATTCTGAAGTCGCCCAAACAATAAAATGCAAAATGGCTCCATAGCGCCCCCTAAGGTGGAAATTCACACTATTGACTGTCACGCCTGTACGCTTTGTCAAAATGACACAAAATTTGACACACATATGTATCTCAATAAGATCTACAAAAAAGTCAGTGCGGGCGTATCTGTCAAATGTACGGTTAAAGGGCTATTTCGCATTTTTTGGCGATCCGTACACATTGGAATTTCGCTAACTCCTCCGAAGGCTTTTGTTCCACCGGCACCACATTTGCTCAGGCCAATCTACACCCCATGGCCATTAAAAGTTATTCAAATCATGATGCTGCACCCCACGGTTTAGGTTCTAGGGGGCGCCAAAGATAACCCGAAAATCCACATATTTAAAAGTCTTATAACTTTTTATTTTTGTCCTCACTGGCCTCCAAGTTTTCTAGGATGATGCAATGTCCAGCCATCAACACATTTGTGAAGGAATTTTTACTCCCCAAAAGAGCGCCCCCCATGGCAGGAGAAAAAAGTCCATTTTTTCTTGTCCCCTAAGGTGAAAATACACATTGTTCAGTGTCACGCCTCTACACTTTGTCAAAATGACACAAAATTTGGCACACAGGTGTATCTCAATAATATCTACGAAAAAGTCAATGCGGGCGTATCTGTCAAATGTACGGTTAAAGGGCTATTTCGCATTTTTTGGCGATCCGTACACATTGGAATTTCGCTAACTCCTCCGAAGGCTTTTGTTCCACCGGCACCACATTTGCTCAGGCCAATCTACACCCCATGGCCATTAAAAGTTATTCAAATCATGACGCTGCACCCCACGGTTTAGGTTCTAGGGGGCGCCAAAGATAACCCTAAAATCCACATATTTAAAAGTCTTATAACTTTTTATTTTTGTCCTCACTGGCCTCCAAGTTTTCTAGGATGATGCAATGTCCAGCCATCAACACATCTGTGAAGGAATTTTTACTCCCTAAAAGAGTGCCCCCCCATGGCAGGAGAAAAAGTCAAGTTTTTCCTGCCCATCGCTCAACGGCTCAAACACATCGCTCTCTCGGCAAAACCGAAAGGAGGAGAAACTTGCCATTTGGATATATCCTAGCTGTGTTTGTGCCCTCACTCATGGTCCAGACTTTTTTCAAATAGGACATGTAGTTTGTCTGCAGCGAGCGTTTTGGTAGAAACTGCGCCTCCCATTCATTATAATGGTAAATGACCACAGACAAGTGTGCACACCATCTTTGGACCTTGAGTGTGACGCGATCGGGAGGGAGAGGCGGTCGTGTTGGGGGCGGCGCGACACAGCTCGGGCCCGCCAGTGCCCCAACGGGGCCCTAGTTCTTCTTATTTTTCCTCCCCTTTGAATGGGAAAATGGCCCACTTCCCACTGGCGAAAACTCATGAAATTTGGCAGGACGACCGGGCCTGGTGAAAAATTCGATATTCTGAAGTCGCCCAAACAATAAAATGCAAAATGGCTCCATAGCGCCCCCTAAGGCGAAAATTCACACTATTGACTGTCACGCCTGTACGCTTTGTCATATTGACACAAAAATTGACACACACGTGTATCTCAATACGGTCTACGAAAAAGTCAGCACGGGCGTGTCTGTCAAATGTACGGTTAGAGGGTTATTTCGCATTTTTTGCCGATCTGCACACATTGGAATTTCGCTAACTCCTCCGAAGGCATTCGTTCCACCGGCACCACATTTGCTCAGGCCAATCTACACCCCATGGCCATTAAAAGTTGTACAAATCATGACGCTGCACCCCACGGTTTACGTTCTAGGGGGCGCCAAAGATAACCCAAAAATCCACAGTCTTAAAAGTCTTATAACTTTTTATTTTTGTCCTCACTGGCCTCCAAGTTCTCTAGGATGATGCAATGTCCAGCCATCAACACATTTGTGAAGGAATTTTTACTCCCCAAAAGAGCGCCCCCACATGGCAGGAGAAAAAAGTCCATTTTTTCTTGTCCCCTAAGGTGAAAATACACATTGTTGAGTGTCACGCCTATACGCTTTGTCATATTGACCCAAAATTTGACACACACGTGTATCTCAATAAGATCTACGAAAAAGTCAATGGGCACGTATCTGTAAAATGTACGGTTAAAGGGTTATTTCGCATTTTTTGCCGATTCGCACACATTGGAATTTCGCTAACTCCTCCGAAGGCTTTAGGTCCACCGCCACCAAATTTGCTCAGGCCAATCTACACCCCATGGCCATTAAAAGTTGTACAAATCATGACGCTGCACTCCACGGTTTAGGTTCTAGGGGGCGCCAAAGATAACCCAAAAGTCCACATTCTTAATAGTCTTATAACTTTTTATTTTTGTCCTCACTGGCCTCCAAGTTTTCTAGGATGATGCAATGTCCAGCCATCAACACATTTGTAAAGGAATTTTTACTCCCGAAAAGAGCGCCCCCCATGGCAGGAGAAAAAAGTCCATTTTTTCTTGTCCC